GTGGAGGTGGGAGGGACAGGGTGGGGGAGGCGGGTCTCTCCTTTGGTGGCATCAGTGAGTCTGAATGGGGAGCACGTCTGTGGGCATGGGGGCATCTGTGGGGGTGTGGGCAGTGTGGGGGCATCTTCTGGGTGGTGTGTGGGGGCGTCTACAGGGGTGAGGGCAGCCGTGGTGGTGTGGAGGCATCCACGGGGGTGGCAACTTCCGGGTGGTGTGTGTGGGTTAGTCTGCGGGGCTGTGGGGGCTCCCGTGGGTATCTGGGGGCGTCCGTGGGGTTCCTGTGATCTCTTTGGCCAGCGTTACCTGATCTCGTCAACTGGCTGCTCGCGGAACATGTGTCTCCAGCCTGCCCACGTCTTCTTCAGGTATTCCTCCCCCTGGCTCGGGCGACAGGGAATGAGAGCCCCCATCCCAGGGTCCCACCCCAAGGCCCTCTCCCGGCTGCCCACTCCTCACCTTGTGCAGGGGGAACTTGGCCTCGAAGACCCCGTCCTTTTCCAGATCCTCGAAGGTCTCTGTGGGTCACAGGGGCTCACGAGTCAGGGGGAGTGAAGTGCTGGGAGGAGGCTGCCCACGGCACCCCGTCGGTGCCCCAGCCCTGCCCTCACCACCAGCCGAGGTCTTGGTCTTCATGACAACGAAGTTCACGATTCGGATTCTGAGATTCAAGAGCCAGAGCAGGGTGGGCCCGTGTGACCACAGTGGACCCTGCCTCCAGGTCTCGACCTGCCCTCCGGTCTGGCCAGGCCCAGGCCCCTCCCTGTCCCGGCGGAGCCCCCAGCCTGCCAGCCCTGACCAGAACCCAGAATCCACAACCCATCCGGGAGCTCCCCCTGCACCCTCCTTAAAGTGCTCCCGGGGCCTGGCCTGCCCCACGGCATCCAGGATGAGGCTGGGCTGGGGGCTTCCTCTCCTCCCAGCCCGTCCCTCCCAGAATCCCAGACCACAGCCCCCACCTCCAACCACACCTCCCACCTGCGGGCCCCTTGTGTCCAGAGCACACCCCGGCTTTTATCCGCACACACCCTCCTTATACCCTGGGAGCTGTTTTGTTCTGCCTGTGCAGAGACTGGGGCTCAGGAAAGGGAATGTCCCGAGGCCACACAGCCACGAAGCAGCACAACCAGGTGTCCGACGGCAGAGCCGGGCTCTGAGCCTCCCCCTGTGCCTAGAGACATGGCTCCTGGACACCCCAGGGCACGTCGCAGGCACGCGCCCCCTCAAGCCACCTCCCCTCCTTTGATGCCCCCTCGCGACCCCCGAAGACCCACAGCTCTCTGTTCACGGATGTTCACAGATGCCCTCCACTGCCCCCTCCACTGCCTCGTGACCACTGCCAGGAGTGTCCTTGGCTGGTCCACAAAGCAGGCTCTGGCTGAGCCCTGCGGGGCCTGGACGGGGCTGGGCAGGTCATGGGGGCATGGAGGGCCAGGCTTGGAGGCTCCCTCCTGGGCTGGAGGACTGGGGAGAAGCAGGGCCTGAGGGAGTGAGGAGGCTGTCCCTGCCAGGCCTCTGGGTCTGTGCCTGGGAGGCCAGGGACAGTGTCCAGGAAGGGGCATCAGACCTGGAGAGGAGGGGTCTTCAAGAGACACTGGCCTTGGTCCAGGAGGGGCCACTGGGCCTCTGCAAACGCTGCCCACCCCCTAAGGCTGGCTCTGACTCTGTCCCCAGGAACGCAGGCAGCCACACGGGGCCCTCAGAACGCTCTGAGAGGTGAGAACCACCATGATCCTTTATTGGGATGGGAAGCTGAGGCTCACAGCCAGTGGGTCTCACACCTGTGGCCCCTGCCCTGAGACCACGCGGCTGTCCTGCCTTGGTGATGCCCGGAGCCTGGCACTGTCTCCTGCCCGGTCTGGACCAAGCACACGGGTGGCAAGGGATCCTTCTGGCCACAGCTCTGGGTGCAGCCTCTCACCTCGTGGTGACCGGGACGGGGGTCGGCGCGGCCAGCTCGGCGTGGGGGGCAGGCCCCTCGGGCTCCAGGAGGAGGGTGCGGTACAGGTCGAAGATGCTGTTGTCAGCACGGATCCCAAAGAAGACCCGTTTCTGGTCCTGTATCGTCTGGGGGTGGGGAGCACACGGGACCCTCTATTCCACCTCCGAACCTTCCCTACCTCTGCAGCCCTGACCCAGACCACGGAGCCTCCTCGCTTCTCACGCCCCTGCTTCTCCCCAGTCCTCCAGCCCAGGAGACAGCCTCCAAGCCTGACCCTCCGTGCTCCCGTGACCAGCCCCACGCCCCGTGCCCCTCGCTGGGCACCAGCCCACCTTGGTGCGGAAGCCCTTTCTCCTGAGCTCCTCCAGGAACTGCTCTTGCCGGGGGTCTCCCTGGGTGCGATGATGGGCCACGAGGACATATTCCCACTGCTCAGAGGCCTCGGCCTGCAGGGAGGAGGCACCGGGCCAGGTGCAGGTGAAGGGGCAGGACAGGGCCGGGGGGGCCTGGGAGGGGCCCACGGACACCCACCTCACAGGTGCCGATCTCCATCAGAGGGAAGCTGTCCCCTTCGGGCTCCACCAGGATCCGGAGGCTGTCTTTGCCCTGGGGGTTTGGGGGCAGAGAAAGGGATAGGAGGATGTGATTGGGGGCAAGAGGCCCCTCATTGGCGGGTCCCTGCGTCAGACCACATAGTCACACACCGTCCTTCCCCACAGTGAGAACAGCAGAGTGCCAAGGAGTTGGCTGTAGGCGGGTGACAGGCCAGAGGACCAGGACCTCCTGCAAACAACCGACAAGACTGTGGAGACGGAAGCACGTGAGGGTTCCTGCAAATGCAAAAGGGAAGATGCAGCCCACAGAGGCCAGCGGGATTGTACGGAAGAGGAGCATGGTGAGCAGCCGACAGGGGAGGCGACGGGAACACCAGAACAGCCAGGGAAACGCAGGTCAGAGGACCAGGAGACACCGATGCGCGGGAGAAGCCACAGGCACCCCTGCACACTCCCGGTGCTGTGCGTATCAGAGCACGGGTTTGGAAACCTGTTGGACTGTGTTTAAAATCGAACGCTCCCAGCTCCTGGCCCAGCCCGTCCACCCCTGGAGGTGCAGACAAGGGCACTCACAGCGGCCCCGTTTCACATGAGGTCCCGGGTTGGGCAGATGGATGGACACCATGCCATCCTCACACAGGGAGGGTCCTGCAGCAGGCGAGGTGAGTGCCTGCAGGGCACAGCGCACGGGGCTCCCGCGGGGTGACTGCCACAGGCACATCCCAGCAGACACAGGGACACGAGAGTCTGGGGCCAGAACCTTCCGGAGGAGGGGAATTTGCAGGGCCTCAGAGCGTCCGCCTGATATTTGTTAATTACTGAGGCAGTCCCCATGCCATCTCTGGCTGCATCACACCCGGTCCCTGCACCTGAGTCTTTCCCCTCTCCCTGCTGCATCCTCGCCAAGCTCAAGACCTGCCTCCTCCGGAAAGTCTCACTTGACTGCTTGAGCCTGTTGGCCCTTGAGGGCTGCCGGGTAAAACATAGGCCACCCAGTCACACTTCATTTCCAGATAAACAACAGAAGGATGTAGTATAGATAGGGTAGGGTAGGGTAGGATAGGATAGGATAGATGCCTCAGTGATTGCATGGTGCACGCCTACACTAAAAATATTGTTTATCTGACATTCAGCTTGACTGGGTGTCTGTTTCTTTTTTTTTTTTTTCTTCTTTTCCTTTTTTTTTGAGACCGAGTTTTCCTCTTGTTGCCCAGGCTGGAGTGCAGCGGTGTGATCTCGGCTCACCGCAACCTCTGCCTCCCGGGTTCAAGCGATTCTCCTGCTTCAACCTCCCGAGTAGCTGGGATGACAGGCACCCACCACTGCACCCGGCTAATTTTGTATTTTTAGTAGAGACAGGGTTTCTCCATGTTGGCCAGGCTGGTCTTGAACTTCCACCCTCAGGTGATCCGCCCACCTTGCCAATGTGCTGGGATTACAGGCGTGAGCCACCGCGCCTGGCCCTGTCTCTTATTTTGTTTCACTAAGTCTGTAACCCTAGTCAAGGTCTGCCCTCCAGCCCCCACCCCCCCCACACACACCAGGAGCTACTGATTCTGGGACAGGTCTCCCCATTCTCTCTACTATCTCAACCACAGAAGCCAGGAAATGCATCCAACCAACCCCAGAATGGGAGGCTGTCAGGCAGGGGATTGGTCCACAGCTAGTATCAGTCCTCGGCCAGTCAGGAACCGAGGAGAGCAGGAGGTGGGCAGGGGGTGAGCAGGGGGTGAGCAGGGGTGAGTAGGGGGATGAGCAGGAGGTGAGAGGGGGGTGAGCAGTGAGTGAGCAGGGGTGAGCGGGGGTGAGCGTTCCCGTTCCCGCCTGGGCTGCGCCTCCCGTCAGATCACCGGCGGCATCAGACTGTCGCAGGAGCGAGAGCCCTAATGGGAGCTGCACATGCAGGGATCTCAGCTGCTCCTTATGAGAATCCAGTGCCTGATGATCTGAGGTGAGACAGTTTCATCCCAAAACCATCCCACCACACCCACAGCTGTGGAAAAACTGTATTCTGTGAAACCGGTCCCTGGTGCCGAAAAGTTTGGGGAGCGCTGCTCTGAGGCCTCCGACGCCCCGGTCACGGGGAGATGGGCTGCGCAGACACCATCTCAGCGCCCAGCGCCATACTGCAGCCTCCCTGGGTGGGGAGGTTCTTGCTCTAGTTGGCCCACGGGGCTCACCTGGTCCTTCTGCCCCATCCTAGACCAGCAGTTCTTCCTGCCTCAATCAGCCCTTCCTCTGACTCCCTGCCTGGCCTTCCCAACAGCCCACGGACAGATACCTGCACTCAGGTGTGGCATGCCACACTGAAACTTCTCCCCCGTCCTGGGTCAGAGGAGAAACCTCCATCCTCGGACAGATATGCAGGGAAGGGCGTGCCACCTGCCCAGGCGGGAGAGGCACCTCTGTCTCAGTGCAGAGGGCAGCCTCGCCCGAGGGGACTGGTGGCCCGGGGGACGTGGGCGTCACGGCTCTGGCTCTGTGGCTTGCCTCCGTAGGAGCCCGGGAAGTGTGTCAGTGGGGTTTGTGGGGGAATGGCCCCTCACATGCCTGGCTTCAGACCCAGGATGAGGGTCCCTCCTCTGCCCAGAACCCCAGCTCCTCTGGCAGACGCTGAAATTAGAGACCCCCTCCCATCAGCCTGGGCCCAAAGCTGAAAGCAGGCAGGATGAGCCCAGACCCCTGAGAAGGAAGGGACGAGGCAGGGACCTCAGACTAGGCAGGACTTTCAGAGAAGCCTGGGAGAAGGGACTGTCCTTGGGGATCACTCTCAAAGGTCGGGGTGGGAAGTCATCCTTCACCCCAGAAATGAGGCACAGAAACCTCTTCCCCACCAAAGACATCGTGCAGCCCTGGGGTGATGACCCCACGCCTCTGGAAACAGCCGAATCAGCCTATGCTGGGGAGTGGGGTGTGGAGCCCTCATCACTGACGTGGGCTGACAGGGAGCCTTCCACCCGGGGCAGAGCTACACGCACACCTGGGGCGTGCCAGCCCCTGGCTGCCCTTAGCTGCTCCCTTACACCAGGCAGAAGCACTAGGGCTGCCCGGTGGAGCCCCCCCAACAGCCAGACAGGTGGCGCCTCCCAGCACACACAGCCAGACAGGCCTCAGGCTCTGAGACTCTGCTGCGGAACTCTGGGCCCACTGGCCTCCAGGATCTGCCGTCCATCTGTCCATCCATCTCCAGTGCCAGTGTTTATGGAGCCACGGGAGCCTGGCTTCTCCACACCGCCCTCGGGGTCTTCACAGGTGGGGGCTGGACCACCTGAAGTCACCTCTGCTTCCACCCAAGCAGACTGTTCCGTTTATCCACAGTGAGAGGTTTATCCACAGTGAGATGTCTGGGACCCCCATGTCCCCAGTCCATGGGCTGCACCTCCGGGAAGCTGTGTGTGGGCCCAAAGGCTCCCAGCTCCCAAGGCAGGGACCGGGGCTGGCCCTACACACTCAGTCTTGGGACCTCTGAAGCTTCAGCCAGCCTTGCCGTCCGCAAACCCAGAGAGGGAGGCCAGCTCCGGGTGGACAGCCGGCCAGGCCGTGGCTCTGACACCACCGAGACGCCCCAGGCCTCAGTTTCCTCATCTGTGCAACAGGGAGCCCTCACCCCAGCCCCCAGAGTCACCTGAGCGGTATGCAGACACAGGAAGAAGGTGGACAGAACCACACACTGTCCTCCCCGTCCTTGCTGCACCACAGCCCTCGCAGGCGACACACCCAGTAACCCAGGGCCCCAAGGAGTTGGTGGGGGGCCCCTGGCACCCCCATTGTGGGCATAGGCCAGCATCCAGTGGGCAAGCCCCCGGCTCCCAATGAGGAAGCTTCTAGAGACACTGTAGCCCACAGGAGACCCTTCCAAGGGCTGGAGTGTGAGGACAGAGCTGGGGGTCCTGCCCATCCTTCCTCTTCCCAGTCCAGCCTCCAGGTTGGGGGCAGGCAGAGGAGACGGCTGTGTAGATATGACCCCACCCCGCTCTCGAGAGGCCTGGCCAGGGGTCCCGTGACACACGTCCCCCCAGGTGTACATGGGAAGGTGTTTGGGCCTCATCTCCTCCTGAGGTCACGTCAGGCCTCTTGGCCAGCGCCCTGAGCCCTCTGGGAATCTGGCCCTTGAGAACTTCAGTTTCGTCATCCACGGAGGGTCCTCTCCTGCCCCCACTGCAGTCCCAAGCACACAGAGGCCCACCTTGTGAGCCACAGTGCCCAGCCTCTGCCCAGCCTACGCATCCTCTGAGCAAACCTTCCCTTGGAGGCCCTGAAGCCAGTCGTCCGCCCACCCAGCTGCCCAGTCTGTCATCTGTCAGTTCACCCATCCATGTGCCCGTCCATCCCCAGACACTGACGGAGTGACCTGCATGCAGCCCTCCCAGGCAGTGCATGGCGTTCGTGGACGCAGGGGCAGGGGCCTACTTGGCAGGTGAGGGGGCATGGAGCTTGGCATTGTAGGGTAAGAGGTTGGCAGAAGGTGAGAAAATGGGAGCAGAATTCCTGGGAGAAAGAACATGTGTGGGCAGGCCCTGAGAATCAGGGTGCAGTTGGTATCTGGGACTCAGCAGTCAGCACCTCCCAGGGACTCAGCACTCAGCACCTCCAAGGAGGACTTGGTAGCTACTACTCCTGGTGACTCAGCACTCAGCACCTATGGAAACTGAGTCCAGGGACTCAGTCCTTGGCACTTCAGCTTTGCAGAAGCATAAAGGACAAGAAGGGAGCTGCCCGAAGGGGAGGCTGGAGGTTGGCAGAAGCCAGTCAGGGAGGGCTGCTTGGCCAACTGGAGGGCTTGGACTTCAGCAGGGGGCAGTGGGGAGCCATGGAAGGGGTTAGAGCAGAGGAAAGGCACGCTCAGATCCAGCCTGGAGCTGGGACTACCAAGTCCTCCCCGTGTCTGCAACTGTCCTTTTTGATCACCACGGGAGTTTGGACCTGCTCCGTTTCCGACCCGGACCGGTTCACCCCTCCTTAGGCAACTTGGGAGGTCACCATATTGGGAGGTCACCATATTGGGAGGTGACCATATTGATGCTCACCCTGCTCCTGGGAGGTCACCATATTGATGCTGAACTCAGTGCAGACACCCAATCAGCCTAACACACTACAGCCCAGAACTCCCAGGCTGGAGCAGTCCTCCTGCCTCAGCTTCCCAAGTGGGACTGCAGGCATGTGCCACCAGGCCCGGGTTCGAGCAGTCCTCCTGCCTCAGCCTCCAGAGTAGCTGGGACTGCAGGCACACGCCACCACGCCCGGGTTTGAGCAGTCCTCCTGCCTCAGTCTCCGGAGTAGCTGGGACTGCAGGCATGTGCCACCAGGCCCGGCTATAACCATCCTTTTTGAAGGACTGATGCTCTCACTTCTGGCAAACCAGGTGCTGCCTCTCCCAACCCAATCCCTGGCCAGCCCGAAGTCTCTCCTCCACCCCCAGCATGGGAGGAAGGGGCTGGCAGTGGGGACCCTGAGCTCAGGCCAAGGGGCATCAGGTGCTGGGCTGAGCAGCCAGGGTGTCGGAGCTGGATGTGGAGGGCGGAGGAGAGCCCTGGGCAGAGGTGAAGCAAGAGGCCGCCTGTGCAGCCCACGGGTGGAGGCCCTGGCAGGTCGAGAGAGAGTCTGGTTTCACTCTGCACCTCACCACTGCCTCCTCCCTGGGCCGACCAGGTGCTGACCCGCCCAGGTGTTGGCCCCTGGCCCCAGGTGACCTCTTCACTGGCAGAGGGGAGAAAGGATGTCTTCCTGTGTGTTCTCCTGCACCGCGCCCCCTTCTGCTCTGGACCCCCACCCCCAGAATCGGAATCCAGCTGCAGCAATCGGCCCCACCTGTGCCTGGGGAGGGCTCCTTGGGGAGCAGAGAGCCCACAGCCCGCCGGCCACTCTGCAGCTCCCAACTCTGGGGCAGCCCGCCTGGAGCCCACGGCCCCTCCCCCTTAGGGACCAGCTGCAAGGCCTGGGGTCCTCACCAGCAGCCCCAGCCCCGGTGGACTTGCCCGCTCCATCTCGTATTGAGGACTCTGGTAAAGGTTCCTGGTCCCACACACTTGCTAAGAGCCCGGCCCTGGTGTCCTCAGAATCCCGAGCTGGAGGGAGGAGCACTGCCCTCCTCCAGCACTTCCAACCCCTAGGGTGCCCCAGGGGTCCAGCAGGCAGCTTAGCTGAGCCGGGCTCTCACCCTCACCGTACCTGGCAGCCTGCAGGGACACAGGCGCCTTCCTGGTGGGGCTGGCGGCTGGTGGCTGGGGCCGGGTGGCCCAGGTGTGGGTGTGGCTGGGGACACGCAGGTGTGGACCCTTTTGAGCGCAGAACTCACCTGCATGCTGGCTGCGGCTGCAGTTCCGGCTGGGGTTTGACGGCCAGGAGAGCAGCTGCCAGTGGCGGGCGCTCCTACCTGACTTCCGCGTGGGGTTCGCCCCTCCCTCCTCCTCCTCCGGCGTCCCGCAGCCTCTGCGCCTGGGTGTAGTCGGGGAGGAGCTGGCGTCCGGGCCAAGAGAGTCCCCCAGCCCCTGGGGCCTGCGACACCTTCCTGGAGCCCAGATGGCAGGTCAGGGGCCGGAGGGGCAGGTGGGGAACTCCTAGGCTAGAGTTCCCGAGAAGGGGGTTTCCACTGTGAGATGGAGCTCATGACACCTGGTCCTAGGGGGAAGCAGGATGGCACAGAGCCCCTGACAGAGCTGGCACCAACACCCCCACTTGCCTTGCCTCTCTCACTCCTGCTCACACATCCCCATGTTCCCTCCAAAAGCATCCCACCCCAGGCCACGGCCTCCCCACCCCACAGGTCCAGTGTTGATTCCCTTAGAGGAGAAACTGGGGCAAGGAGGACTAAGGACGAGACAGACTCCCAAAGAAACTGTCTTCTCCCACCGAGTCCCTGCTTTCTGGGCCCCAGCTGGGGAGTCCTTGGAGTCTTGGGGACACGTGGCTGGCCCCAGGCTGTGTAGACAATGGAGGAGGAGTCCCCCACCCCACATCCCCAGGCCCTGAGCACGTTCTGTGCAGCCTGGGCTGAGGGCAGCAGCTGGGCAGACTCTGGGTGTCCTGAGAGTGACCGTCCAGTGGAGTGCCCCGAGGATGGAGGGATGCAGGGAGTGGGGGCCCAGGCTGCGGGCTGGCAGGCATTGTCTGCAGTGTGTGTGGCGAGGAGTCCGCTTCTGAAAGCTGCTGGGAAGCTGGGGAAGCAGGGACAGGGCTCTGCAGGCAGACGCTGTCACACCGAACAGCACCAGGCCCGCTGGGGCCAGAGCACCCCCCGGCAAGCCCAGCAGCCCTCTTCTGTGGTTCGGGCCCAGGGCTGACAGTTGGCTCCGGTTTCCCCAAGGGTTAACATGGCCCCACCCATGTTTCTCCTTGGGGGACCTCCTGACAGGCTGGGACAGCAGCAGAGACCACAGCTTTACCACTTTGGCAAAGACAAGGGAGTGAAGTGGTGGCCGAGGACCTGTGAACTCAGATGGAGCAAATCCAAATGGGACACATTAAGATTTGTGTGCAGAATGGTGGTGGCTTCGACAAGCTGTGTATTTCTCCTGTAAGTGAAATCTGGAGTTGGCCAGGTGCGGTGGCTCACGCCTGTAATCCCAGCACTTTGGGAGGCCGAGGCGGGTGGATCACCTGAGGTCAGGAGTTCGAGGCCAGCCTGGCCAACATGGTGAGACCCCGTCTCTACTAAAAATACAAAAATTAGCCAGGTATGGTAGTGTACGCCTGTAATCCCAGCTACTCGGGAGGCTGAGGCAGGAGAATCGCTTGAACCTGGGAGGCAGAGGTTGTGGTGAGCCGAGATCACACCACTGCACTCTAGCCTGGGTGACAGAGTGAGACTGTCTTTAAAACGAAACAAAAATCTGGAGTTGGCTAGTCCTGGACTAGCATGGCCGCACTACAGTCATCAGAGACCCAGAATGCCTTTAGCTTGTTGCTCTGCCGCCTTAAACATACGGTCCCATCACCTGGTCCAAAACGGCTGCTCAAGCTCCGGTCACCTCATCCACGTTCCAGCCAGTGGGAAGAGGAAAGGGTGAAGGAGGCACCCCCACCTGTCACATGGTTAGTCACATGACCACACTCTATGGCAAGGAGGTCTGGGGCATGTGAGCTCTTTTCCCATGGAAGAAAGCAGGGTAAGCGGGACAGGGACCATCCAGCAGTCTCACCAGAGAGTCACAGCTGCCAAGTTCGATCTAGTTCAGAAACAGAATCTGCAAGGCTTGTTGAGCATGGGAGGAACTTACACGCAAGATCCACGTGCCCAGCTCCTGCACTGTCCGTGACGGGTGTGGCTCCCCAGTCCCCAGCTCAGCCTGCCCAGGATTCTCTGTGCTCACGTTGTCATTGTGCTAAAGCAATCTGCTGGCAGGTCGTGTGAGTTACTCAGGCATCACTTCAGCTGTCCACACAGCTGCTGTGCTCTTTTTCAATGACTTTTTCAGCATTCCAAGTTTCATTGCAGAAACTGTTCCTCCTCCCCTCACACCTTCCGTGGGCATCACCTGAGAAATCCTCAGTCACTCCCAGAGTCCTGGCTGCAAGGCCAGCTCGTCCAGCCTCAGGGGAGACAGCTCACCGAGGTGGCTGCACTGGCCGCAGGCCTCACCTGTTGTGGAAGTTCCCTCACATTCAGTGAAGGGTGGAGAGGGAGGGGGACCCCACCCAGTCCTATCTGGACAGAAAACCAGTACAGCCCTTTCAGAAGGCAATTCGACTATAATACGTATTAAGAGCCTTAAAATTGTTTAGACTTTGGTCCATTAATCTAACTTTTTGTAAACTGTTCTTAAAAAAATGCAAAGTAATGAAAATACGTATATATGTCATTTGCAGCAAAAATTGTAAACCACTAATGTTCAACAATAGGAAAATATCAGCGAAAACGTGGTATTCATATTTATATGCTGATTAAGCAGACATTAGAAGTTATACTTTCAAAGAGTTTTTGAGAACATAGGAAAATGCTTATGTTATACTGTTAAATAAAAAAACATAGATTACAAACGTATAAAAAAATTTTACAGATTAAAATAGATGTATTTATTATTTTTTTTTTATTTTTTGAGGTGAAGTCTTGCTCTGTTGCCCAGGCTGGAGTGCAGTGGCGCGATTTCAGCTCACCCCAACCTCTGCCTCCCGGGTTCAACGGATTCTCCTGTCTCAGCCTCCTGAGTAACTAGGACTACAGGCATGTACCACCACACCCAGCTAATTTTGTATCTTTTGTAGAGACGGGGTTTCACCATGTTGGCCTGGCTGGTCTCAAACTTCTGGCCTCAGGTGATCCGCCCACCTCAGCCTCCCAAAGTGCTGGGATAACAGGCATGAGCCACTGCACTTGGCAGAGATTAATTTATTTTTTTAAATATTCTTTTACTTTAAGTTCTGGGATACATGTGCAAAACGTGCGGGTTTGTTACACAGGTAAACGTGTGCCATGGTGGTTCGATGCTCCTATCACAAACATGTATAAAATGTTTATTTAAACTAAGCTAAGGTGCATTAAAATATGGGAAGAGTAGATTGATATTTGATATTTACATTTGCTTAACAATGTCAATGAAGGATGGTGTATTATGCTTTTCTTCATTATGTTTGTTTTCAGATTTTCTAACACAAACACGTAACACTTTAATAAACTGTCTTATTAAATTTGCTTTATTTCCATATTCAAGCCTATTACTTTAAACTTTCTTTCCCCCACACTCAGCCTGACTCTTGGCTTCCGGGTTTGAATGCAGCTCCTAAGAGGCAAGAGTTTGACCTGGACGTCCTGGCAGTCGGCCCTGCCCTGCGTTGGCAGAGAACTTTGGTCGAAGGCCCCGCAGGCCTCCTGCTCTTCCTCTGTGGACCCTGGACCCTGCTCCTCTGTCCTTCCTCCTCCCACTTCAGAAGACCCCGTCCACCAGACCGCCTCCCCCTGAAGCCCAACTCCTCCATCCCTGAAGCCTCCTTTTAACTGGGGGATATGGCAGCCACCCGTGGAGAGGTCAGATGACAAAGCCGGCGAGGGCCAGGGAGCGCCCAGGTGAAATGCTTCAGGCAGGTGTGAGCACCAGTTGTCATTACCTTTGCTCTGGGCCCCTCAGAGACCTGTCCTCCCCCACCCTACAGCCTCCTGGGCGTGGCCACAGACACTAATGCCTCGCCCAGAGCACTGCTCAGAGGCAGCCCCTGCCCCTGTATTCTCTCCGGGCTGGTCTCAAGCATCCTGCTGGCTCCAGCCTCTTGGCTGACAGTGCTTGGCAGGTGACCGCCAGCCTCAGGCCCCCGCAGGGGAGACCCTCTCCCAGATGGGCCTCTGCCCTTGAGGTCCACCTGAAGCCGTCCTTGCCTGCCACACCAGGCTGGCAGGGGTGGGGACCCAAACCCCTCATGTCTTCATTGCAGTGACAACTGGGTCTCCCTGCTGCCTCCCCAACACCTCCGGGCCTTAAATTTCCACCCGTTCCAGCTTCTTGACTTGGGGAGCAGTCTTGCTGTGCACGCTTCCTCCAACAAGCCGGAGAAAACTCCCAGGCACAGGTGTGCGCGTGGCACGGTAAGTTTTCTGTAATCCACTCACCTTCACGGATTTACCGCACCAGGGGAAATATTATAACAGGCATTGTTACTTTAGAAATTCCTGGGCTACCTCTCCCTTCCTTGCAAGGGCATTTTTAGAAAGCATTTCGCCAACATTCACTATTTACTACCATAAATGTGACTCTGGCCAGCTCTGTCCCTGGGTAAGGCCGGAATTGACCATTTTCTTAAAAGTTCCAGCGCCCTAAGGCTTCTGGTGGGCATCTCCACAGCTAAAGAAGGCTTCTGTCCCGTGCACCCTTCTCCAGGCGGGGGACCCCCAGTTCTGCTGCTCTGGCGTTTCAAAGAACCAAGTCCTCCAAGCTGCTCCACTGCCTCCTAACACCAGCCACGGTGCTCCCTGAGCCACAAACCTCCGGCCTCACCCCTGCCTCTCAGGCCCATGTCTTGCAATGGACTCTGCCAGTCCACGCATGCCTGGGTGGGGGCGGGGGTGCACTTATGCAGCTGGGGTGAAGACAGGGACAGGGTAATGTGAGACTCAGATATGAGACGCCAGGTGCAAAACTGCAGGTAGAGAGCTCCCTGTAGAGTGCAGGGGTTCAGAGTAGAGGCTCCGGGGTCTGGAAAGAGGTGGGTGTAGCTTTCACCAACCTCTCTGCCTTAGCTTTTTTTGTCTCTAAGCGACAGTCAAAAATAGAACCTAAGGGGTGTGTTAAGATCGTAATGGTTGGCCGGGCGCGGTGGCTCGCGCCTGTAATCCCAGCATTTTGGGAGGCCAAGGCGGGCGGATCACCCTGAGGTCAGGAGTTCAAGACCAGCGTGGCCAACTTGGTGAAACCTCGTCTCTACTAAAAATACAAAAATTAGCCCGGCATGGTGGTGGGTGCGCCTTTAATCTCAGCTACTCCGGAGGCTG